CAACACCGAAATTTGTTGCATTGCATCATCACCACGTGGTATTGGCGCTGTCATTTGATACCAGTGTGTTGCATACTGATGATGTAGTTAGCAGATTCGGTGTTGTGCGAGCGAATATGTGTACACGTGTGCATGGATTGTGTGTGATGGTGGGTGTGTGTAAGGTGCATGGTTGAGAGTGAACAGCTGCTTTTGGTAGTCTGTGTGTTGAATGATGGTGGTGGTGATGGTGGTAGGTGAAGTGAGACAGCGGCGCCAATGAGCTGGACGACAGGCGTAGTGTGCACAAGTGAATTGTTCGCCGAACACCAGTGCAGGAAATCAGATGACAGGTGTTGTCAGTGCTTCCTACACACATCAGTGCAGTGGTGTCACACGCAAATCGCCTTGTCCACAGCACAGCACACAGCAGCCTCACTCACTTCATCACCACACCACCTTCACCATAATCATTGTCATCATCTCCCTCTCATCATCATAACGAACTCAGTGATGAGGGATAGATATGAGGATGTTTTGGAGGAGAACTTCTACGCACACGTGTTCAGTGAGTGTAGGCGCACATCTCCACTCGCATGCATGTGACCACACGTTGTGATTGAAGTCGAGTGAATCAGATGAAGCACGAACCAGTGGTTGATTGAAATGCATGCATGCATGCATGCATGCAATGAGAACCCGGTTGCATGTGAGCCGATCGGATGCGATGCTGAGACCGGTTTGGTGGGCTGCATGTAGTATTGTAAGACGAGAGCAGTGTGTTTGTGCGGTTTGTTTTGTGTGTGTTTGTGTGTGTGTGTGTGAGTGTGTGTGCGTGTGGTGGGCAGTCGGTTGGAATTATGTGCACCTCTTGCATTCGCTCATTCAAAATCAACACGATGTTCAATGTGAATTGTTTTTGTGCACACTCACACACTAGGCATCCCATCGAATCAAACGAGCCAGCTATCCACTTCACAGAGCACCACGTCCATTCAGTCGAATCTGTCCACTGGAACACCTGAACCGACAGCAACACCTACCACTCCAACTCCAACTCCACCACCACCACCACCACAGACCACCGATTCATCAATCGTCACTAGTGAGTTCAAATGGTGGAATAATTTTAATAATACTGATAATGATAATGATAATAATAATAATAATATTAATAACAATATTATCAATCACAGCCATCATGATCATCATAATAACATTGATATTTATTTCAATCAGCTTTTGATTAATGGCAATAATACTAGTAACAATCATGATAATTTGTTGCATTGCATCATCACCACGTGGTATTGGCGCTGTCATTTGATACCAGTGTGTTGCATACTGATGATGTAGTTAGCAGATTCGGTGTTGTGCGAGCGAATATGTGTACACGTGTGCATGGATTGTGTGTGATGGTGGGTGTGTGTAAGGTGCATGGTTGAGAGTGAACAGCTGCTTTTGGTAGTCTGTGTGTTGAATGATGGTGGTGGTGATGGTGGTAGGTGAAGTGAGACAGCGGCGCCAATGAGCTGGACGACAGGCGTAGTGTGCACAAGTGAATTGTTCGCCGAACACCAGTGCATGAAATCAGATGACAGGTGTTGTCAGTGCTTCCTACACACATCAGTGCAGTGGTGTCACACGCAAATCGCCTTGTCCACAGCACAGCACACACCAGCCTCACTCACTTCATCACCACACCACCTTCACCATAATCATTGTCATCATCTCCCTCTCATCATCATAACGAACTCAGTGATGAGGGATAGATATGAGGATGTTTTGGAGGACAACTTCTACGCACACGTGTTCAGTGAGTGTAGGCGCACATCTCCACTCGCATGCATGTGACCACACGTTGTGATTGAAGTCGAGTGAATCAGATGAAGCACGAACCAGTGGTTGATTGAAATGCATGCATGCATGCATGCATGCAATGAGAACCCGGTTGCATGTGAGCCGATCGGATGCGATGCTGAGACCGGTTTGGTGGGCTGCATGTAGTATTGTAAGACGAGAGCAGTGTGTTTGTGCGGTTTGTTTTGTGTGTGTTTGTGTGTGTGTGTGTGAGTGTGTGTGCGTGTGGTGGGCAGTCGGTTGGAATTATGTGCACCTCTTGCATTCGCTCATTCAAAATCAACACGATGTTCAATGTGAATTGTTTTTGTGCACACTCACACACTAGGCATCCCATCGAATCAAACGAGCCAGCTATCCACTTCACAGAGCACCACGTCCATTCAGTCGAATCTGTCCACTGGAACACCTGAACCGACAGCAACACCTACCACTCCAACTCCAACTCCACCACCACCACCACCACAGACCACCGATTCATCAATCGTCACTAGTGAGTTCAAATGGTGGAATAATTTTAATAATACTGATAATGATAATGATAATAATAATAATAATATTAATAACAATATTATCAATCACAGCCATCATGATCATCATAATAACATTGATATTTATTTCAATCAGCTTTTGATTAATGGCAATAATACTAGTAACAATCATGATAATTTGTTGCATTGCATCATCACCACGTGGTATTGGCGCTGTCATTTGATACCAGTGTGTTGCATACTGATGATGTAGTTAGCAGATTCGGTGTTGTGCGAGCGAATATGTGTACACGTGTGCATGGATTGTGTGTGATGGTGGGTGTGTGTAAGGTGCATGGTTGAGAGTGAACAGCTGCTTTTGGTAGTCTGTGTGTTGAATGATGGTGGTGGTGATGGTGGTAGGTGAAGTGAGACAGCGGCGCCAATGAGCTGGACGACAGGCGTAGTGTGCACAAGTGAATTGTTCGCCGAACACCAGTGCATGAAATCAGATGACAGGTGTTGTCAGTGCTTCCTACACACATCAGTGCAGTGGTGTCACACGCAAATCGCCTTGTCCACAGCACAGCACACAGCAGCCTCACTCACTTCATCACCACACCACCTTCACCATAATCATTGTCATCATCTCCCTCTCATCATCATAACGAACTCAGTGATGAGGGATAGATATGAGGATGTTTTGGAGGAGAACTTCTACGCACACGTGTTCAGTGAGTGTAGGCGCACATCTCCACTCGCATGCATGTGACCACACGTTGTGATTGAAGTCGAGTGAATCAGATGAAGCACGAACCAGTGGTTGATTGAAATGCATGCATGCATGCATGCATGCAATGAGAACCCGGTTGCATGTGAGCCGATCGGATGCGATGCTGAGACCGGTGTGGTGGGCTGCATGTAGTATTGTAAGACGAGAGCAGTGTGTTTGTGCGGTTTGTTTTGTGTGTGTGTGTGTGTGTGTGAGTGTGTGTGCGTGTGGTGGGCAGTCGGTTGGAATTATGTGCACCTCTTGCATTCGCTCATTCAAAATCAACACGATGTTCAATGTGAATTGTTTTTGTGCACACTCACACACTAGGCATCCCATCGAATCAAACGAGCCAGCTATCCACTTCACAGAGCACCACGTCCATTCAGTCGAATCTGTCCACTGGAACACCTGAACCGACAGCAACACCTACCACTCCAACTCCAACTCCACCACCACCACCACCACAGACCACCGATTCATCAATCGTCACTAGTGAGTTCAAATGGTGGAATAATTTAATAATACTGATAATGATAATGATAATAATAATAATAATATTAATAACAATATTATCAATCACAGCCATCATGATCATCATAATAACATTGATATTTATTTCAATCAGCTTTTGATTAATGGCAATAATACTAGTAACAATCATGATAATTTGTTGCATTGCATCATCACCACGTGGTATTGGCGCTGTCATTTGATACCAGTGTGTTGCATACTGATGATGTAGTTAGCAGATTCGGTGTTGTGCGAGCGAATATGTGTACACGTGTGCATGGATTGTGTGTGATGGTGGGTGTGTGTAAGGTGCATGGTTGAGAGTGAACAGCTGCTTTTGGTAGTCTGTGTGTTGAATGATGGTGGTGGTGATGGTGGTAGGTGAAGTGAGACAGCGGCGCCAATGAGCTGGACGACAGGCGTAGTGTGCACAAGTGAATTGTTCGCCGAACACCAGTGCATGAAATCAGATGACAGGTGTTGTCAGTGCTTCCTACACACATCAGTGCAGTGGTGTCACACGCAAATCGCCTTGTCCACAGCACAGCACACACCAGCCTCACTCACTTCATCACCACACCACCTTCACCATAATCATTGTCATCATCTCCCTCTCATCATCATAACGAACTCAGTGATGAGGGATAGATATGAGGATGTTTTGGAGGAGAACTTCTACGCACACGTGTTCAGTGAGTGTAGGCGCACATCTCCACTCGCATGCATGTGACCACACGTTGTGATTGAAGTCGAGTGAATCAGATGAAGCACGAACCAGTGGTTGATTGAAATGCATGCATGCATGCATGCATGCAATGAGAACCCGGTTGCATGTGAGCCGATCGGATGCGATGCTGAGACCGGTTTGGTGGGCTGCATGTAGTATTGTAAGACGAGAGCAGTGTGTTTGTGCGGTTTGTTTTGTGTGTGTTTGTGTGTGTGTGTGAGTGTGTGTGCGTGTGGTGGGCAGTCGGTTGGAATTATGTGCACCTCTTGCATTCGCTCATTCAAAATCAACACGATGTTCAATGTGAATTGTTTTTGTGCACACTCACACACTAGGCATCCCATCGAATCAAACGAGCCAGCTATCCACTTCACAGAGCACCACGTCCATTCAGTCGAATCTGTCCACTGGAACACCTGAACCGACAGCAACACCTACCACTCCAACTCCAACTCCACCACCACCACCACCACAGACCACCGATTCATCAATCGTCACTAGTGAGTTCAAATGGTGGAATAATTTTAATAATACTGATAATGATAATGATAATAATAATAATAATATTAATAACAATATTATCAATCACAGCCATCATGATCATCATAATAACATTGATATTTATTTCAATCAGCTTTTGATTAATGGCAATAATACTAGTAACAATCATGATAATTTGTTGCATTGCATCATCACCACGTGGTATTGGCGCTGTCATTTGATACCAGTGTGTTGCATACTGATGATGTAGTTAGCAGATTCGGTGTTGTGCGAGCGAATATGTGTACACGTGTGCATGGATTGTGTGTGATGGTGGGTGTGTGGAAGTTGCATGGTTGAGAGTGAACAGCTGCTTTTGGTAGTCTGTGTGTTAATGTTGATCATGGTGATGGTGGTAGGTGAAGTGAGACAGCGGCGCCAATGAGCTGGACGAGAGGCGTAGTGTGCACAAGTGAATTGTTCGCCGAACACCAGTGCATGAAATCAGATAACAGGTGTTGTCAGTGCTTCCTACACACATCAGGGCAGTGGTGTCACACGCAAATCGCCTTGTCCACAGCACAGCACACACCAGCCTCACTCACTTCATCACCACACCACCTTCACCATAATCATTGTCATCATCTCCCTCTCATCGTCATAACGAACTCAGTGATGAGGGATAGATATGAGGATGTTACGAGGACAACTTCTACGCACACGTGTTCAGTGAGTGTAGGCGCACATCTCCACTCGCATGCATGTGACCACACGTTGTGATTGAAGTCGAGTGAATCAGATGAAGCACGAACCAGTGGTTGATTGAAATGCATGCATGCATGCATGCATGCAATGAGAACCCGGTTGCATGTGAGCCAATCGGATGCGATGCTGAGACCGGTGTGGTGGGCTGCATGTAGTATTGCAAGATGAGAGCAGTGTGTGCGTGCGGTTTGTTTTGTGTGTGTGTGTGAGTGTGTGTGCGTGTGGTGGGCAGTCGGTTGGAATTATGTGCACCTCTTGCATTCGCTCATTCAAAATCAACACGATGTTCAATGTGAATTGTTTTTGTGCACACTCACACACTAGGCATCCCATCGAATCAAACCGAGCCAGCTATCCACTTCACAGAGCACCACGTCCATTCAGTCGAATCTGTCCACTGGAACACCTGAACCGACAACAACACCTACCACTCCCACTCCAACTCCAACACCACCACCACAGACCACCGATTCATCAATCGTCACTAGTGAGTTCAAACGATAGAATAATAATAATAATAATAATGATAATAATAATATTAATAACAATAATAATAATAACAATATTATCAATCACAGCCATCATGATCATCATAATAACATTGATATTTATTTCAATCAGTTTTTGATTAATGGCAATAATACTAGTAACAATCATGATAATTTGTTGCATTGCATCATCACCACGTGGTATTGGCGCTGTCATTTGATACCAGTGTGTTGCATACTGATGATGTAGTTAGCAGATTCGGTGTTGTGCGAGCGAATATGTGTACACGTGTGCATGGATTGTGTGTGATGGTGGGTGTGTGGAAGGTGCATGGTTGAGAGTGAACAGCTGCTTTTGGTATTCTGTGTGTTGAATGATGATGGTGGTGATGGTGGTAGGTGAAGTGAGACAGCGGCGCCAATGAGCTGGACGACAGGCGTAGTGTGCACAAGTGAATTGTTCGCCGAACACCAGTGCATGAAATCAGATAACAGGTGTTGTCGGTGCTTCCTACACACACCAGTGCAGTGGTGTCACACGCAAATCGCCTTGTCCACAGCACAGCACACACCAGCCTCACTCACTTCATCACCACACCACCTTCACCATAATCATTGTCATCATCTCCCTCTCATCGTCATAACGAACTCAGTGATGAGGGATAGATATGAGGATGTTACGAGGACAACTTCTACGCACACGTGTTCAGTGAGTGTAGGCGCACATCTCCACTCGCATGCATGTGACCACACGTTGTGATTGAAGTCGAGTGAATCAGATGAAGCACGAACCAGTGGTTGATTGAAATGCATGCATGCATGCATGCATGCAATGAGAACCCGGTTGCATGTCAGCCAATCGGATGCGATGCTGAGACCGGTGTGGTGGGCTGCATGTAGTATTGCAAGATGAGAGCAGTGTGTGCGTGCGGTTTGTTTTGTGTGTGTGTGAGTGTGTGTGCGTGTGGTGGGCAGTCGGTTGGAATTATGTGCACCTCTTGCATTCGCTCATTCAAAATCAACACGATGTTCAATGTGAATTGTTTTTGTGCACACTCACACACTAGGCATCCCATCGAATCAAACCAGCCAGCTATCCACTTCACAGAGCACCACGTCCATTCAGTCGAATCTGTCCACTGGAACACCTGAACCGACAACAACACCTACCACTCCCACTCCAACTCCAACACCACCACCACAGACCACCGATTCATCAATCGTCACTAGTGAGTTCAAACGATAGAATAATAATAATAATAATGATAATAATAATATTAATAACAATAATAATAATAACAATATTATCAATCACAGCCATCATGATCATCATAATAACATTGATATTTATTTCAATCAGTTTTTGATTAATGGCAATAATACTAGTAACAATCATGATAATTTGTTGCATTGCATCATCACCACGTGGTATTGGCGCTGTCATTTGATACCAGTGTGTTGCATACTGATGATGTAGTTAGCAGATTCGGTGTTGTGCGAGCGAATATGTGTACACGTGTGCATGGATTGTGTGTGATGGTGGGTGTGTGGAAGGTGCATGGTTGAGAGTGAACAGCTGCTTTTGGTATTCTGTGTGTTGAATGATGATGGTGGTGATGGTGGTAGGTGAAGTGAGACAGCGGCGCCAATGAGCTGGACGACAGGCGTAGTGTGCACAAGTGAATTGTTCGCCGAACACCAGTGCATGAAATCAGATAACAGGTGTTGTCGGTGCTTCCTACACACACCAGTGCAGTGGTGTCACACGCAAATCGCCTTGTCCACAGCACAGCACACACCAGCCTCACTCACTTCATCACCACACCACCTTCACCATAATCATTGTCATCATCTCCCTCTCATCATCATAACCAACTCAGTGTTGAGGGATAGATATGAGGATGTTACGAGGACAACTTCTACGCACACGTGTTCAGTGAGTGTAGGCGCACATCTCCACTCGCATGCATGTGACCACACGTTGTGATTGAAGTCGAGTGAATCAGATGAAGCACGAACCAGTGGTTGATTGAAATGCATGCATGCATGCATGCATGCAATGAGAACCCGGTTGCATGTCAGCCAATCGGATGCGATGCTGAGACCGGTGTGGTGGGCTGCATGTAGTATTGCAAGATGAGAGCAGTGTGTGCGTGCGGTTTGTTTTGTGTGTGTGTGAGTGTGTGTGCGTGTGGTGGGCAGTCGGTTGGAATTATGTGCACCTCTTGCATTCGCTCATTCAAAATCAACACGATGTTCAATGTGAATTGTTTTTGTGCACACTCACACACTAGGCATCCCATCGAATCAAACCAGCCAGCTATCCACTTCACAGAGCACCACGTCCATTCAGTCGAATCTGTCCACTGGAACACCTGAACCGACAACAACACCTACCACTCCCACTCCAACTCCAACACCACCACCACAGACCACCGATTCATCAATCGTCACTAGTGAGTTCAAACGATAGAATAATAATAATAATAATAATAATGATAATAATAATATTAATAACAATAATAATAATAACAATATTATCAATCACAGCCATCATGATCATCATAATAACATTGATATTTATTTCAATCAGTTTTTGATTAATGGCAATAATACTAGTAACAATCATGATAATTTGTTGCATTGCATCATCACCACGTGGTATTGGCGCTGTCATTTGATACCAGTGTGTTGCATACTGATGATGTAGTTAGCAGATTCGGTGTTGTGCGAGCGAATATGTGTACACGTGTGCATGGATTGTGTGTGATGGTGGGTGTGTGGAAGGTGCATGGTTGAGAGTGAACAGCTGCTTTTGGTATTCTGTGTGTTGAATGATGATGGTGGTGATGGTGGTAGGTGAAGTGAGACAGCGGCGCCAATGAGCTGGACGACAGGCGTAGTGTGCACAAGTGAATTGTTCGCCGAACACCAGTGCATGAAATCAGATAACAGGTGTTGTCGGTGCTTCCTACACACACCAGTGCAGTGGTGTCACACGCAAATCGCCTTGTCCACAGCACAGCACACACCAGCCTCACTCACTTCATCACCACACCACCTTCACCATAATCATTGTCATCATCTCCCTCTCATCATCATAACCAACTCAGTGTTGAGGGATAGATATGAGGATGTTACGAGGACAACTTCTACGCACACGTGTTCAGTGAGTGTAGGCGCACATCTCCACTCGCATGCATGTGACCACACGTTGTGATTGAAGTCGAGTGAATCAGATGAAGCACGAACCAGTGGTTGATTGAAATGCATGCATGCATGCATGCATGCAATGAGAACCCGGTTGCATGTCAGCCAATCGGATGCGATGCTGAGACCGGTGTGGTGGGCTGCATGTAGTATTGCAAGATGAGAGCAGTGTGTGCGTGCGGTTTGTTTTGTGTGTGTGTGAGTGTGTGTGCGTGTGGTGGGCAGTCGGTTGGAATTATGTGCACCTCTTGCATTCGCTCATTCAAAATCAACACGATGTTCAATGTGAATTGTTTTTGTGCACACTCACACACTAGGCATCCCATCGAATCAAACCAGCCAGCTATCCACTTCACAGAGCACCACGTCCATTCAGTCGAATCTGTCCACTGGAACACCTGAACCGACAACAACACCTACCACTCCCACTCCAACTCCAACACCACCACCACAGACCACCGATTCATCAATCGTCACTAGTGAGTTCAAACGATAGAATAATAATAATAATAATAATAATGATAATAATAATATTAATAACAATAATAATAATAACAATATTATCAATCGCAGCCATCATGATCATCATAATAACATTGATATTTATTTCAATCAGTTTTTGATTAATGGCAATAATACTAGTAACAATCATGATAATTTGTTGCATTGCATCATCACCACGTGGTATTGGCGCTGTCATTTGATACCAGTGTGTTGCATACTGATGATGTAGTTAGCAGATTCGGTGTTGTGCGAGCGAATATGTGTACACGTGTGCATGGATTGTGTGTGATGGTGGGTGTGTGGAAGGTGCATGGTTGAGAGTGAACAGCTGCTTTTGGTATTCTGTGTGTTGAATGATGATGGTGGTGATGGTGGTAGGTGAAGTGAGACAGCGGCGCCAATGAGCTGGACGAGAGGCGTAGTGTGCACAAGTGAATTGTTCGCCGAACACCAGTGCATGAAATCAGATAACAGGTGTTGTCGGTGCTTCCTACACACACCAGTGCAGTGGTGTCACACGCAAATCGCCTTGTCCACAGCACAGTACACAGCAGCCTCACTCACTTCATCACCACACCACCTTCACCATAATCATTGTCATCATCTCCCTCTCATCATCATAACCAACTCAGTGTTGAGGGATAGATATGAGGATGTTACGAGGACAACTTCTACGCACACGTGTTCAGTGAGTGTAGGCGCACATCTCCACTCGCATGCATGTGACCACACGTTGTGATTGAAGTCGAGTGAATCAGATGAAACACGAACCAGTGGTTGATTGAAATGCATGCATGCATGCATGCATGCAATGAGAACCCGGTTGCATGTGAGCCAATCGGATGCGATGCTGAGACCGGTGTGGTGGGCTGCATGTAGTATTGCAAGATGAGAGCAGTGTGTGCGTGCGGTTTGTTTTGTGTGTGTGTGAGTGTGTGTGCGTGTGGTGGGCAGTCGGTTGGAATTATGTGCACCTCTTGCATTCGCTCATTCAAAATCAACATGATGTTCAATGTGAATTGTTTTTGTGCACACTCACACACTAGGCATCCCATCGAATCAAACCAGCCAGCTATCCACTTCACAGAGCACCACGTCCATTCAGTCGAATCTGTCCACTGGAACACCTGAACCGACAACAACACCTACCACTCCCACTCCAACTCCAACACCACCACCACAGACCACCGATTCATCAATCGTCACTAGTGAGTTCAAACGATAGAATAATAATAATAATAATAATAATAATGATAATAATAATATTAATAACAATAATAATAATAACAATATTATCAATCGCAGCCATCATGATCATCATAATAACATTGATATTTATTTCAATCAGTTTTTGATTAATGGCAATAATACTAGTAACAATCATGATAATTTGTTGCATTGCATCATCACCACGTGGTATTGGCGCTGTCATTTGATACCAGTGTGTTGCATACTGATGATGTAGTTAGCAGATTCGGTGTTGTGCGAGCGAATATGTGTACACGTGTGCATGGATTGTGTGTGATGGTGGGTGTGTGGAAGGTGCATGGTTGAGAGTGAACAGCTGCTTTTGGTATTCTGTGTGTTGAATGATGATGGTGGTGATGGTGGTAGGTGAAGTGAGACAGCGGCGCCAATGAGCTGGACGAGAGGCGTAGTGTGCACAAGTGAATTGTTCGCCGAACACAAGTGCATGAAATCAGATAACAGGTGTTGTCGGTGCTTCCTACACACACCAGTGCAGTGGTGTCACACGCAAATCGCCTTGTCCACAGCACAGTACACAGCAGCCTCACTCACTTCATCACCACACCACCTTCACCATAATCATTGTCATCATCTCCCTCTCATCATCATAACCAACTCAGTGTTGAGGGATAGATATGAGGATGTTACGAGGACAACTTCTACGCACACGTGTTCAGTGAGTGTAGGCGCACATCTCCACTCGCATGCATGTGACCACACGTTGTGATTGAAGTCGAGTGAATCAGATGAAACACGAACCAGTGGTTGATTGAAATGCATGCATGCATGCATGCATGCAATGAGAACCCGGTTGCATGTCAGCCAATCGGATGCGATGCTGAGACCGGTGTGGTGGGCTGCATGTAGTATTGCAAGATGAGAGCAGTGTGTGCGTGCGGTTTGTTTTGTGTGTGTGTGAGTGTGTGTGCGTGTGGTGGGCAGTCGGTTGGAATTATGTGCACCTCTTGCATTCGCTCATTCAAAATCAACACGATGTTCAATGTGAATTGTTTTTGTGCACACTCACACACTAGGCATCCCATCGAATCAAACCAGCCAGCTATCCACTTCACAGAGCACCACGTCCATTCAGTCGAATCTGTCCACTGGAACACCTGAACCGACAACAACACCTACCACTCCCACTCCAACTCCAACACCACCACCACAGACCACCGATTCATCAATCGTCACTAGTGAGTTCAAACGATAGAATAATAATAATAATAATGATAATAATAATATCAATAACAATAATAATAATAACAATATTATCAATCGCAGCCATCATGATCATCATAATAACATTGATATTTATTTCAATCAGTTTTTGATTAATGGCAATAATACTAGTAACAATCATGATAATTTGTTGCATTGCATCATCACCACGTGGTATTGGCGCTGTCATTTGATACCAGTGTGTTGCATACTGATGATGTAGTTAGCAGATTCGGTGTTGTGCGAGCGAATATGTGTACACGTGTGCATGGATTGTGTGTGATGGTGGGTTTGTGGAATTTGCATGTAGCATGTTTTCTGTCCTACTATTTTAGCTGATTTCTAGCAGGCATATTCTTCGTAACTGTGTATTTGATAACATAATGGTTTTACCTTTAGTCGGAATATATCGAGCGAACTCGATTACTTTGTGTAGACGCCTAATCAAGCATTACACAGAAGTGACAGAAACGATTATTTCAGGGCCGTGTTTTGGAGGTTTGCGTTTTTACACATTTGAAATCACCAATCCTCGCAGATTTCGAACCCGGAACCTTCGGTATTTTAGGTGGATGCCTTTCCATCGGACCACTGCGCCGGCATCCAACGGTTTTTTGAGTGCCTCCACATTTATTTGCATCCGCTTACATTTAATTTGCTTAAGTCCTTTTGATTAATTTCTTTAACCATGCCATTCGCTTAGCAACAACTAGTATGTACAATTGGTATTTTTCATTATCTGGTTTGTATGAGCTGATATGACTGATGATTGCTTAACGCCTACGCACATATGCATCCTATTCGCTTTAATATTAATCTCTAAAATACCACGATGACTCAGACATTTTCCTTTGTATATATACGAACATTTTTATCTTATTAATTCATTCGCTCATTCGCATATTCGCTCGTTATTGTGTCTGCCAGGTCTGTCTGTGGTCTGCTATCCTTATTGTGGTGCGCTACAATAAACGTATACGATACTTGGAATTCATCTTCTGATTTATTAACCGTCAGACGTCATTTGGATAAGACAATCTGAACGAGCTTATTACGAAACGTAAGAACACGCCCAAATCGGCACACAACATGTTCATGTCTAACTCTAGGGATTTTGCGCAACCCTACTCATTTGTCTTTGGTAGTTTTTCCCTACACTCGACAGGGTTGAACTCCATTGGTCACGTCTTCTCAATTAGAATCCTGCGAGGAGCAGGAGTCGTGGATGCTAACTGCTGATGAGTCCCATACTAGGACGAAACGGCCGTCGTGCAGTGCTTCCAGGTTTCTAATGGTGGTCTAACAATGCTTGATTGAATGTGTAGAAACGAGTGTATTGACGCTAATCTATAAAGTTCAGTATTAGAAAGCATCATCATAATGTTAATAATCAAATCATTGTTATTAAAAATTGGTTAGCATTGAAAATGATTATGATTAATCTGCATTACAGGGTTGTGAAGATATTTAAATTACACATTTTTGAAACCATGAATCGATCAATGTTAGACCACCATCAGAAACCTGGAATCACTGGTCGGCCGTTTCGTCCTGGTATAGGACTCCCCAGCAGTGCGCATCCTTGACTCCTGCACCCCACAGGATTCGAACCCAGGACCTTCGGTGTTGTGCGCGAACGCCCTAACCGTTGGACCACTGAGCCGGTATCCAGCGGTGTTAATGTCTAACTTGATCAAATTCACGGAGTTGCGCGACCTCATACACAGTCTTCGGTAGACGCTGTCTACACCTGAACAGGTTGAACTTCACTGAGGAGTCCCATACCAGGACGAAATGGCCGTCCAGTGCTTCCAGGTTTCTAATGGTGGTCTATCATTGATCGGTTCATGTTTTCAAAAAATATGATTAATCTGTTTCCATTTTTTATTCTAACAGATACAACTGGAACAATTTCACAAGGAAGTACAAATACTTCATCTGATAATTTGTTAACTTTATCATCAACTGTCGATCACACGCCTACAATATTCACTGATAATCAAACGTCACTAACATCTGTATCATTGAGTCAATCAACCGAATCAATAACGACAACACCGATTCCAACAAACACTACAACAGCCAGTATTGTGATTTCAAGTAAGTTGTTGCTTGTTCGTTATTCAATAACTTCGATTAGACAGACATATTAGACATATTCACCATTTATAATGTTAAATATTTGCATTAACACGGGTTTTTTTCTCAACACGTAAAAAGAATGTCATATTTCCACTTGAAGTAGATTGATTAAGCTTTGTAATATTTAAACAACGGAATATCTTTTCTCCATTAAGAAATATTTTCTAGGTGATAACACTGATCATAATCTTATTCTGATTGGCAAGGGTTTTTTTTTCAAAGTAAACTAAACAATGTAAAATTTAAATTTTAAATGATCTGTTTATCACTGTTACTGATTGCATGATGGATCCTGATGTCCATTTGAATGAACCTATTGTCTTTTCAGTATCTTCCAAGTGCAAACTTTAGATTTATGCCATTGAATGAATAAGACTCATAGGTATTTAAAGTAGTCAGTCAGTCATTTACAACGTAGAACTCTGTACATGAGTACATCAGTTCAGGTTGCAATTCTACATCATCACAGAGATGCAACTGTCACTACAAATCCAATAGTGGTAGAGATAGTAGAAGTATTAGCAGTAATGGAGAATATTTAGGGTTCGAAGATATGATTACAGAAGTATAATTCAGTGACATAAGTTTAGAAAGAGAATGATAGAGATGATAGAGAATTCAGGAGGTCAGAATTAAGAGAAAACAGTGAATAAATGCACCTACGCCATTGCATACGATTCTGAGACATATCATCTAAGGTCTCTAACACTATCGATGACCTTTGTTTCACTGACCCAAAACAGGTAGCCTACATCTACCAACATGACTCAGTCCACTTGTCAGTGAGTTCATGGATTTCTGCTATGTTTTGGTTTGGCCGCCCCTAACATTCTTCCAACCTACTGCAACACCACAAAACTTAACTCGTCGAAGCAGTCGGTGGTCGGGCATTCGTGTCATGTCCCAACCACCTCAAATGATTGGGTTTCACTACTTCATCATCAACTGATCTGCCATCCTTACCTAGCACTCGTTTCCTAACAACAGCATTGCCTACTCCGCTGTCTCAGGATACACGAGCAATGTAGTTTTATATCACTCTCTATATAAATAGTTCACCCTTCCTCAACCATGGTCTCACCACTGACTTTATAGTTAAATATTAGATTTTCCTAATGGCTAAGCAATTCGATCAACCGCAACATACTTATTCATTATGGAATAAACTCATTTTTTTTTAAAATAAATTTTAAATATCAGAAATCAAGTTTCCTCCTCCATTTCTGCTTTTGTTCTACAGATACAACAACGGCAACGTTTAACGAAAGTAGTACACACACTTCTATTGATAATGTCCTAGTATCAACCACATCTGCTACACAGTTCAATACATCCACAGCCAAATCGACGATATTAACAACTGAAGTAACCACTAATAAATTGATAGAAATAACTTCTACATTAATAGACCAATCAACACAATTTATCACGAATTTATTAACAAACGCTACAACTTTGACTACTATTGCAACAACAACCACTACAACCACTACAACAGTCTATATTGGCAGAGGTAAGATCTTTTCATTATTTTCGATTCATAAAAGAAATCCTTTGCTCGTTTATTGTAATTAGCAGTGTGATTGTGATTTGGCAAAAAAAATATGAATCAAGTGTAATAATGAAAACTTTATTTTGAGATGGTGGAGAAAACTTGTAGCTCAGGTGAATGATGGTTATAGTGGTGTTTCGTTCTCTGAGCTGGTTGTTTTGGTTGTGGAGCTTTCATTGTTCTTCTACTGAACAACATCATCAGCATAAACTTCAGATAGAAGTAGAGTACCAGAATTTCTCCACGTTCGACCGGTAGCTTGTTCTGCTAACCTCGATCTTGATTGCTTGCTGTTGACCTTTGACCTGTCGTTGTTTGCAACTTTGTTTTGACTGCAACTAAAGAAAATACTTTGGGGCATGGTTTCGGAGTTTTGCCTTTTTAACACATTTGAAATCATCACTCAATCATTGCTAGACCACCATTAGGAACCTGGAAGTACTGGACGGCTGTCTCGTCCTAGTATGCGACTCCTGCTCCTCGCAGGATTCGAACCCGGGACCTTTGGCATTGTAGGCAAACGCCTTACCATCGGACCACTGGGACGGCACCCAACGGTGTTAATGTCTAACTCTGATCGATCTAGGGATTTTGCGCGGCCTCACCCATTTGTCTTTGGTAGTTACTGCCTACACCCGACAGGGTTGAACTCCACTGGTCACGTCTTCTCAGCTAGAACTCCGAGAATTTCCTCACGAAGTTAGTCACTAGTGATGATGATTTCAAATGTGTAAAGAAAATATATTGGTATTTTCAAACTATCTGTAACATTTAATTATTTTAGTTTTCTGTTAATAATTTGATTTCATGATTAACAACTGATTTCTTGCTGACAATATCCTTAACTTGAATGATTCAGCTGTCAATGGCAATAATTCCATTGCTTGAACAAGAATCACAAAGGCTATTTCGTATCATCAAGTGACCTTGATCGTCTATGAAGCAACATTCTTTTATTTCATTTTAACATTCAAAAGTCGATTTGTTCATCAAAAAATGTCGCTCCATAAGAAGTTAACATCCCTTTGATCCATAATGTGGTTTGTGAATATCCCAACTTGTAAAACGCATTCATTCACCAAGTCTAAGAGATTTGTTAGAAGACTAAGAGTGTTTTATTATCTTGGAAATAAAGCAATAGTCTTAATCACCTTAAAAATAGACATATGTATTCTATCTGAGGACTATGGCGAGGAAATAAATCGACTATTGACTGAGTCCAATCTGTTGGGTTGTGTCAAACTTATCAGATTGAACAGGCTGCTCTTAGATCAGATTGTGCTTAATGGTATTCATCATAAATTCATTCTTCACCACATTTATTGCGGAACAACAATCGTTGCATTTCATGATATTGGGTCCGCTTTCTATTCGTTGGATAAGACTGTTCTAAGACAGTGCATGAGAATTTCTGTAACATCTCAATGATCGCTTAACTTTCTAACTTGATACTTTCTCTTAGACGTAAGCTGATCGAAAAAGAACTCAATTCGAACTATAAACGGTGGTGGAAAAACACAAACACTTACTAATAATGTTAAATATTGTATTTCATGAGTACGTTGGTGGGTATTTCGAAGTCTAGTAGATAATTCACTGACATTTAAAGCAATGGATATTGGATCCAGGTTTCGGTGTGAACACGAGCACAGATATATCAAGGTATATCCAACCGAAAAAATTTTAAACAGAACAAAACATCCATTCTTCATTCTCATGTAAACTGTTATCCAGAATAATTCCAATCTAAATATCGGATGGGTCATTGAAATGGAATGATTTTTCTACGAAAAAGCTGTTATAACAATATTTTGATGCCGTAAATAATTATCGAATCTTAACTACAAGCTAGTAGATAAAAATCAAAGTTATACGCTCAAATAACCATTTATATTCAATCACTCACTCACTCACCCATTCACGTACTATTTATATCTCTTGTTCCCAAACATCAAATTTCTGAATGTAGTACACCCATTAATTAGCATGAAAATTAATATGAACTTACTTGGCGAATGTACTTTAACGCCACAGAGTGACATAACAAATTAGGTAGTATTTATCAAAGAGGTATTTCATTTGGTATATCAGAAAAACGTTGGACTATTGCATGGTGGGACCGCTACCGATCCACTGGCCTTGATGACTAAGTATTCTCAGTAAGTCATGTGGAGGTTCTCAATTCAATCCTTAGATGGTTCATGGCTGTGAACTATGGGAGAATAAAGAAACAAACCTTCCCAATGCTCTCTGGTTAACACTGAACCAGTGGATGAGCTTAATTTATGACGAGTTTCATCTAAACACTGTGTCAATCTTTACTAAATATAATCAAATATATGAAACAATAACAAATTAGTTAATTTCTCATTTCTTTTATTTTTCAATGTTGTTTTGTTCAAAATTAATTGTCTAGTAACCACAGTATTTCAAATCAAAGCAGTTTTATACGCTACCAGTACTGGCAAGAATGTTCCATGGTCAAATGATTATGCTGATAAGACATCAAATGCTTATAAAACTTTATCAACAAGTTATTGTTCTTTGGTATGTACCATAAATTTTTTTTTGTCAGTTACAATCTATCTATCACCTGTTAATACGTATACCTAAAACTAATAATGTCTATGAATATTAAACCAGGCGATCTGATGAGTTTGAACACTACTAACAGAATGAGAGAGGTTCCAAAAGTATGTGTCGACTTTTGATGATAGTTTATAATCCTCCTTTGAATTTTCAGTCATTATCGTTATCGTACTAAATTTTACGATATTTTGACAAAAGTTGACAAATTCGCCATGCGAATTATCATTGGTTTTACTCACTTGTAGTGAAGGAGAACATAGGTGAGGGCAACCGAATTGTATTTAACGAAAATTACAGAGTTACTCAGTAAAAAATAGGAAAACCATATCGTAAACGGTTAATTTGCAAATCTTCAATCAATCATCAATCCATTGTCTGACATTTCACTTATTCATGCATTTCATACAAATTCCATTGTGTTCCCACTCTTCCTTTATTGATCTTCCTCCATCTTCTGCTGCGTCATATACTACTTATAAGTAGCGCGCACCACACATAAGTATAGATTACCGGAATATTGATAATTTGTTTCGCATAACTTACAATTATAATTAAAACAAATTTTATATTCTCTTAAATATTAATTTAAGCTTTTGAATAGTTTACTAACCGAAAATGCTCAAATAACTCAAGGTGCAACTTGTAAATCAATTGAATTCACTCGAATTATTTTAAGTTCACTTTCTAAACGACAAGTTCAAAGCTCCAACAATGCTACAACTGATGCTGTTCAAGGAAATGCACAAATTGAATTACAAACATTAACCGGTTCACAATTGAATCAAGCGCAATTTTCACAATTATTACTGAATGGTTATCAAAAGCTTAATTTAACCAGTGGAAATTTTCTAAACAATATTCAATCAACACGTAAGTCATACTGTGTATAGTGTGTTGGTTGAAATTTCAATTTAATAATTAAACAATGTGAATAATGTCAATGGTTTAATGATGACGATTGAGTTTCATAGTCTACATTACAGATTGACTAATTAATTAGGTAAAACTAGTTAATAGTATACTCTTTAAGGTAGATAATCTGAAGTAAAAACACCTTCAACAGTAGTGAATATTCCATTGGGAATCGAGTTTAGCTTAACCTACCAACTATTGAAGATCCGTTGATCAGACACCATCAGTTGCAACCTACTGTGGGAGAGAATAAGTCAGATGCCAGCAGACGAAGGAATTTCGAAAAAGCGGTGGAATTGAATAGGATACACATTGAGGAAAGTATGCAACGGCATCATAAGACAAGCCTTCACTTGGAATTCTCAAAATTAAAGGGAAAGAGATATACCAAAAAACGCTTCACGTCTATGTGTTACGCCTGTACGTAAGCACGTCAACTTGACATACTTGAAACTATTACGAGTTTACCTTAGTCGTAGACGAGAGCGAGGACCGAGAATCCGGCTCCACGACATGCCACTCAAATCCGATTATCCCGACTCCCATATTTAGTGGAAGAAGACAAGACTTGATATGAAGTAGAACCTGTATTCTACAAGCATCTAGAAAGTACGAGGTCCGAATCCAGAAGAGAATCAGGATCTCGGATTAGGGATCCGGGACCGGGTCCTGGTCCTAGTCGTGGTTATAAAATGTTACAGATAATGCGTATTTATACATTTTGGTCGAATAGCTAACAGCATCGAATTCTGTGACATTGACAGTTGGGACAACCAATAGGAAGTAACATTTGAAGTGACATTGATAGTCAGGATGACCAATAAGAGACAACATTTAAGTATTTGACTTTGACATTTAAAACGACCATAATTTTGACCAATAAAAATTGACCAATAGGATTTGACCAATAATTCTCTTAGGATATTGGATGAATATTTTAACAGTATGATTGTAGACAGGCATGAGAAGAATGAGCAACAATTACACAGCACTAGAAACAAAGGCTTAGAACAGATTAGGTTGGATAATGCTAGTCGGTGGCCTACGCTCCATTAGGGGTAACCGAAGTAAGTAAAAATAAGATAATCAATAAAACTAACCAACTGCTTATATTACCCCATTCAAGCAAACATTAAGTTGGTTCGTCTGTCAGTAATTATTTATTTAAATGAAAATGTTCCAGGTTCATTTTCTCCAAAAATCAACATTAGTTTAACAATCATTGAGTAGTATGATAAAAAAAACATTAATTTTTCAGTCCTATTTAGTGATAACAGATTGTAATATGTCCGGTTAATAAAACAGCTAATAGGCCATTCTCTTAATCCATGTTACCAAATTCAAATAGAGTCTGTTCTTCAAACTAATAAGCATGTTTGTCTAACTATTTTGGTGTAAGATTTAAGGAGGTTGTAGCTGTTGGGATGCGGTTGCCAAGTGAAAACTCCCAAACGAATCGAAACCAAAATTACAGACGTTATAGAATAACGATATTTATTGATTAGAAGTCGCGTGATACCAAAATGATATCACATGTACAGCCAGACAGCGAAATAACAAGAACGATTAATTCGGCCAAGGGATTGGGAAGGTTGGCGCTTGAGTTATCGCTTCTAGTCCAGATAAACAAAAGGTGTACAATATAACAGTTATTGTTATACATGTTCAATAATAAGTATTTGTATGTCAGCAAATATGTTTTCTTCATAAAATAGTTCCACTACAAGGTTTTGCTGTCGTGTATATTGAATTGATATCTTATGGGATAAATTAAAATCGATAAATGTTGGTGATAGTGAGTAATCTAACAATAAAATAAAAATCAACTTCATTGTTATGGGTTTTTGATGATTGTTGAATGTATAATTTTACATTATCGACTGACTTTATTCACTGGAAACCGTGAACGAAGAGACAGCTAATTTTTTGTCGTATGAAACTCATCAGAATTGCGGATTTATGAATCATGATGGTTCGAAAGTTTAAGGGATTTAATACAGTAAAAGATTTTAACATGCTTAGCTGGTATGAAGATGGAGCACTTCCTGTAAAGTGTGTCGGTTCCAGTTAACTTACTTGATGACTTTACATATGTTCTTTTTTAAATGTGTGAGATAGTGGAGAAAATTTGTAGCTCAGGTAGATGATGGTTGTGGTGTTTCGTTCTCTGAGCTGGATGTTTCGGTTGTGGAGCTTTCGTTGTTCTTCTGCACAACATCAGCACAAACTTCAGATAGAAGTGAAGCATTTGAATTTCTCAATGTTCAACAAGTAGCTTGATACTAATTGATTGCTGTTGACGTTAAACCTGTCGTTGTTTGCATCTTGGTTTTGATTGTATCCCTATTTTGAGCCGTTTCTTGATAGGATGTCGTCTTTGATTTGTCTGATTGGTTGATAAATTGGGTCAATGACAATGTGTTTTTTGATTGCTGATTGACCTGAGTGCCAAGCTTCTGAAAATTCTCTAGTGTTCTTTTTGCTCCCACTATCCAGTATTTCTACACCGTTCCAATCGAAAGTATGTCCATAATTGTCTGTATGTATTTACAATAAGCGAAGCGTTGTCGTGGCGTTTGACTGCTAATTGATGCTCACGTAAACGATGTTGAAGAGGACGTCCACTTTGTCCTATGTAGTGTTTTTCACAGTCTGAGCAATTTGTTTTGTAGAGGATATTTGGTTTTTCTTCCTTTGTCATTTTCTCCTTTGGTCTACATAGGATTGATTGAAGTGATTCTGTCGGTCGGTGCGCTACATCTATTCCAAATGGTTTCCGTAGTCGTGCTGTACATTCCGATATGTCTTCTATGTATGGTGGGATGATCCATTTACTGGTTTGTGCACTTGATTTCGCTTCTGTTGATGATTTCGGTTGATGTTTTTTGATGGAGTTGCGTGGATAGCCGTTCTTTTGGAAAATAGTCATAAGATGTTTTCCTTGTTTTTTAGCGCTTTCAAAAGTTTCATTGACATAAGATACTTATTATTATTATTTTTAAAGGATTGTTTTATTCAATACTTCATAGCTTACTGAAAAGTTATTTGTGTTTGAAGCGACGGATATTGAGTTCGTGTCCCCTTGTAATTCAGATTTATACATTTGATTAATCATAGACAGGATAAAACACATATTCTAAATTCAATTACTACCTACTATCTACAGTAATATAGGGTATTGTGATGAAGTTTCATTCTTTGAATTAAATGTTTTGGTTTACGAGCTTTAACAACCAAAACATTCAGCGCAAAGAACAAAACTCCATCACAATCATCCACCTGAGCTACCTATATTTTCTCCACCATCTCAGAGAGAAAGAATCGTGATTACCTTGATCACTATATACACTCATTTACTAGAAAATTATTTGCTAAATGAAGCCTGTTAGTCCTAATGGAGCGCAGACTGCCGACTAGCATTCTCCAACCAACTCTGTACTGAGCCTCCTTTTCCAGTTCTACCCAATCGCTGTTCATTCTTAGGATGTCTGCATCGAATTCTCGGTGCAGAATTATTCGTATTTTTGCCTATTTTCACTAGTATGATTTCTACAATATGTATCCTATGCGCCTCCAGCATTTCGTCCTGATTTGTTCCTCAGCTGAAATATTCTATGTTTACTCCCACAGTAAGTTGTTGCTAATGGTACCTAGTAAATGGAATCGAAGTATTTTGCGCGGACAATTGTTAATAAAAACACTTGTAACCTGTGGATGATGGCTTTCGCTGTTCTGAAAAGTTCCGCCACTTATCATAGAGCTGTCTTGACAATTCTATTAAATATTTTGACTTTGTTGCTTGTTGATAGTTGTTTTGAATAAATACTGCCCTTGCTTTGTCAATCCGCGCCTTCACATCTGCATCAAATTCACCTTGCTCATCATTGATGCTGTACAGATATGTAATAGTTTTTACATTCTCTAAAGCTTCTCTATCAAGTGTGATTCGGTTGGTTCATATTGTGTTTTTACTATTTATTGTCGATAATGTTTGATCTTTACTTTCAATAGTTTTAATCAATAGAATCACGCTGATTATGCTTACATATCCAGCTAATTTTCAAATGATATACTAGCTGTGTTACTTTTTTTTTTGTTCATAGGCATTTCACCAACTATCACATGTTCACAAACTCGATCACTATGTGGTGAACATGCATCATGTCGAAATACTGACAATGGTGTTACATGTACATGTGATCCAATGTGGAAAGATGTAACTCCAGAAGATCCAGGAAAAAATTGTACATGTATGTTTTTTCAAAATTATTTTTAATAGACTAAGAACAGAAACTGTTTTTGCATATAATACACTTTTTCTCTAAATCATTGAATTTCTGTGATGTTATTATCGCAGTTTTAACTTAATATTAGTGATTTTGATGATAGTAATTTATATTGTGTGCGATCACTTAAGTGATAAACATTTCCTAATAGCTTAACAGATCAATCTCTTTAAAGTTGTCTTAATTCCGATGAATGTTATGTGATAGTTACGTTTTAACAAAAAAAAGTAACTTCATTTATAAAAGAGGAACTGGAAGAACAATAGTGTAAAACCGTATGATGCTAAATAATCGTCTACAATGAAATGCATCTCCTGTCTAAACAGTACTACTTTCTTGACTTTATTAATGTTATCACCGAACTCTACAACTGCCGGATCGATTTCATTTCTGGCAAAACATTTTCGAAAACTTTAATGCATATACAATTCAAGAGAATAGGATTGTATTAGGGAAAAAATGTAAAGTCATTGAAACCTCCAATTTCACTCATGAACCATATTCAATATTCAACACAGATAAAAGCAAGTGCATTCAATTGAATGAGTTCCACAAAATTTTGTTGAGTTAATTATTATGTGATTTTACAAGTGTATTATTTCAAATATTTATTTGAACAACACATATAAACGAACAATACTGTTCTTGATTAGAAGATCGTCATCAGACTTTACTCTAATATACGTGAATATTTATGATGAAAATGTTAAACCAATCAAGGCAATTTGAGTGATAATCACAATGAAATGAAAAAGATTACGTCACTACACATAATAGGCAAAAGTACAATCCTACTATCCACTTAACGAAGTAAACATTGCTAAGTTGAATAGCTTACATGTATCATTTCGGTAACTCATTTACCAAGTGCCAACACCTGTGTGGTGTGAGCTACTTATAAGTAGTATATGACTTAAGTGTCAAGGTAATGTCTGGCAGCAAAAGATGGGGGAAGATCAAGAAAGGAAGAGTTAGAACACAATGGAATTTGTATGAAACGTATGAATAGTGACAATGGATTGATGTTTTGCAACAGGAACAGTCCAGTTCGATATGATGAACTGATATTTTACAAATTAACAATTTACGATATGGTTTTCCGATTTTACTGAGTATCTCTGTAATTTTCGTTATATACAATCTGGTTGCCCCACCTGTGTTCTCTTTCACTACACGTGTACTTAATTCCACGCCATAGTGTTATTGTGAAAGTTAATAATTCTAATCCGGGATTATTTAAACAGAAGAATAGAGAATCGAATTAGAACTTGAGATTATATAGTTGAGCTGAGCGGCTTAAATTGTATTCTGCTGTTTCATATACACACTGGTTTGTTACAATGCTATCTCTATAGGGATATCGAATTTTGAATATTTACTGAGTTATTCGATTTTGAAGTGTTATCCAATCGCAACTATAATCTGTATCCGTTCATATTACTTACTTACTTACTTACTTACTTGCTTACATACACCTGTTACCTCTAATGGAGCATAGGCCTCTGACCATTGAACTATTTACCTGATCAGCGTTTTTACAGCCCAACCCTCCTCCTTTATCCGGTCTTGGGACAGACAGTAATCCTAAACGGGCTCCATACGGAGTTCGTTCATTTTTCTGCTTTTTATTATTCAAACAGACTAATTCCATGTTGCCTTCTTTCATTTGTCTTTTTTTCCCACTGTCAACAACAGTACATCCTGGAACAATTGCACTCATTGTATTTGCTGCTCTCCTATTGGCTGCTGCTATCGGTGCATTAATCTATTTTCTAGTTCGAACTGAATCAATTAAAAAGTTACGATTAAAACAAATCACTGCAAATTAACATGAACAATGTTGAAAATTATTATTTTATAATATTTCTTTATATATAATATAAAATAAACAACTAGAGTAAATTAGAAATATTATTAAAATGCAATTGTATTTTTTTTTCTTGTCAGAATATTTATGTTTATTCAATTTTATGTATTCATTAAAAACAAATATGCATATATTTTTTTTTAAAAAAAAAAATAAATTTATTATTAAACTTTATTGATAAGCTCTGTATTTTAATTGGTTCATACACAATATTCGACATTGAATTAAAATGTTCTACAGATATTTATGGTTCAAATCACACACACAGATTCATTTTAATTAGATGAACAATGATAATCTGGAATTACTGAATAGTATAGAGTATATATGGAAGAAAATCTTCACTCAACTGGAAATAGAATGCCCTCAAGTTTTGTAGTTACTGCTTAAAATTTAAACTTTTAATGCGTGCGTTACGTACTAGTTCATAGTGCTTATTACAACCAATTCCCAATAATGTACACTTATGGTTACAGTCCACTGGGGACTTCTTCTCAATAGAAGTAGTTTTCAACTCTAATAATCATTATGTACAAAAGACTAACAAGTAATTTATGTCGTAAAACACTTCCGTAAGTCTACAATCTGTGGTCTATGACATTTTTACAACAAATTAATTCAATATATTCGTCTGGGGAGGGTTAATAAAGGAAATTCCAGTCAAATTAATTTAAATTTTTCAAAACACACTTGTATGCGTGATCTTTGAATGAACACTAGAAATCACTGACCGATAAAGTATTGTTGTTGATGTTTCAGTTTTTGGATAATTTTCAGTAATTTCTTTATAAACAGCATATGGTTACTTTGAGGAACATATTGACTATTTTATATAGAATTGTTCTGTTAATCAGACGTTTATGATAATATCTCTAGGGATTGAACAAATGCAGATATCATTTTGAGAAAAAATGACTAAAAAATCACGATGTATATATATGGAACTGCTATTTCTGATTAAAAAAATCATCTTAAACTAACTTTGGTAGTCATAGTGTTAGCAGTTAGACATCTAAATTATTACATCACGAATAAACAGTCTAGAATTTAAATGTTTGACTGAAGTACCAAGTGTCTTGGGTTCTATCCTCGAGTGTGGAATCGCGGATGCTTACTACTGAAGAGTCCTATATAAAGACGAAATGACCATTCATTGCTCTCACATTTTCAGTGGTTGCGTAACTTAGACTGGTTTGCGACCTCAACAACACTCGTACAGTTTATCTTACCCACTAACATTAAACATAATGAAAACATCTATCAGTATCATAGTTTCGAAGATTAATGAATTTTTCTAAGATGACGAACTAATCTAATTTACATAATCGTTGAAAACCTGAAAGTACTGGAAAGCTGTTTCTTCATGGTCTAGGATTCCTCGATTGTGTTCATCAATAAACTTGCAACCAGGAACACAAATTATGTTCAATTATGTTGAAGACTTTATGCGTAGAAATAGTATTTAGAATAATCTCAATGATTTAAATCTATATAACTCTAACCGTTCGACTAGCACATTAGTTTGAACTTGTACAGGAATAAAAATTATCAAAGCGTATTTAAGACTGTAAAGGATATTCTATCCATATGTTATTTTTGCTAACTGAAAGCTAGTGATCACACGAAGCCTCAATCAACTATTAAAGGCATATTATTCTATCCGTCTGTTATGAATAGTAGCTATATCTATTACAAATTAAATCTTTGAAATAAATATGCCAAATGAAAAAAGTGATATATCTTTAATGGTGATGTTAAACACATAAAGATAATTGGAAATCTAATCCAAAACACTGGATTTGATTGGATGGTTAAGCGTACGTTTCTTATTGGAATCAAGCTAACAGCCATTTATTTGGTAATTAGTTAATGCCAAGACATAGCCTGCAATCCCCTTTTAAAGGTCATATCAGAAAACGTTCTGAGATGCGTTTGGAAACTGATTGCTTTGTGTGGCCAATATAATCTAGCCATCAGGAGCAGGCAAATTTATGTGGCTGCTTTGAAAGTAACGACTCGGATATTTATATCCCAAGAAATTCATTGAAAAAAATTACTCCTTCGATGTGCTGTCAATGTATAATTCAAATTTAATAATGATTTCTATAGACAAACTGACACAATTAGAATGGGATCCCTCTTAGCTTTTATCAGTGGAGTTCAAAGCTGTCCATTATTCAGTACAGAAGCACTGAATCAACTCTGAGCACGTCACTCCTACAGAGTTATCCTTTAAAGCAATACATGCAATCAAAAGAACCGGATCAAATGAAATCTGCTAAGGTTTAGCAATCCACTCGTTCAAGTCAGAACACTGTGAGCACAAACCATTCGTCCAACCATTTATTCTTTCTTTGGTCCAAATCCTCTTCTCCAGTTTATTTTCGATTTTGCTTTATTCTCATTATTATTTGTATTTTTAAATCATAATCAGTTATCATTAATTTTTATCAATGTTCAAGATTATTACTCACTTGTTATAATAATTACTAAGTTTTATGATTGTTTGCAAATTTATAATCTTCAAAATAATTCTATCCTTCTACTGTTTTTCTCTACTCTCTGGCTAATTACATAACCTTTGATATTTGAAATTTCGGATCACTTATTGATGCAATATTTTGTATCTATCTATAGTTATCGAACACACATACATATACTAATGTACTGCTTTAGCAAATGATTTCGTCCAAAAAACATTTCTCCGCTCAATTCTCTTTATTTTTCTTTTTCAATGGAATAATAGGTTACTTTAACATATGTACATGATATTATGTATGCGTTTGAACGTACATGTTGTCTAGATTGGTCTGCAGACATCCAAAAAGCACGCGCACTAGCAGTGACCCCCGTTCGGGCACTTATGAATCAACAAGATCCCTCCAACCAATCCACTACCCACAATCCCCAATCGGCAAGGGCGGCAGGGCGGGCTTTCCCAGCTAGACCTGGCGCCCCGAACGGATTACCGAGCCACCCAGCAGTGCACTAACCAGCAGCCGTTCCAACCGTCTGGCCTCCAACTGCCTTGCGCCAATACAATCGACCGAAGCCCTCGGACCTCAGATAAAGCTAAAGATCGAATTTGTCGCACAAGGTCAACCGGAACGTACACCCTCCCATGGGGAATATGTCATGGACTTGACCAAGTGCAAGCACTCGGCCAAACCTGGTTAGTCCCACATACAGTGGGAAGACATCATTGGCGTCCAGTACCCTTTAGCACCGGATCACATAACCCAACTGGAGACCCTTTTTTAATGGGCCTCGACGCCAGTTCACACAAAATACACCGAGATGCAGAGTGTTTGCGACAACCACATAGGGTCGGCGTCAATAGACCAGGATCTTTAGGGCTGCTTCCCCAAACAAATCGTCTAGTGCCGCCTTCAAGTATCCTGGAAAGCTATTATCCCAATATTTCAAAATTTACCTACGCTCGATGGACGGGATTCAGACTTAGAGGCGCTCAGTCCTAATCCCCAGAGTGTCTAACCGCATCCACGGCCTTGCAACCATGAACACGTACCGTTATTCTGGACCATGCTAGGCACGGCAACCTAAGCGTTCGGAACGGCTTTTAGCCGCAGCGCTGTAAACAACGACACGTTGCCTGGCTGGACCGCAAAGAGATAGCCGCTACAACAACCTCCAGTAGGCTCCATTTATGCGCGTCACCTAATATACTCATTCAATTAGATGACGAGGCATTTGACTACCTTAAGACAGTCATAGTCAATCCCTCCATTATGTATGTGTTTGTATACTTACTTGTACCTTATTCATACTTAGAAATGTTGTATCACATTTTAATGAATTAAATCGAGTTGGCCCTGTATGCCATCTCAAATTTTTATCTCTCATCATCTATATACATGAATGAATGTCTGATATATAATTATACCAAATAGAATTCCACTATCTTTATAGTCTCAAAGCAATTTGTCGATAAAATATACACGAGTTGAAATAATATACATACAGTGTGTATCCTATGGGTATAGCCTCGTTATTAGGCATTACGACATATGTTTTCATAGAATAGATAGATTATGCTTAAGAGTAGGATCTAATAACATTTTGATTTGAAATCATGAATCGATCAATGTTAGTGCACTATTAGAAACCTGGAATCAATGGACGGCCGTTTCGTCCTGGTATAAGAAGACTCCTCAGCAGTGCACATCCACAACTCTTGCTACTTACAGAATCCAAACCTAGGACCTTCGGTCTTGAGCCTAAACGGTCAAATTCTGGACCACTGAGACGTCATCCAACGGTGTTAATGTCTACTGACTTCGATCAATTCACGGTCTTGTGCAACCTTATCCAGTGTTTTCGGTAAGCACTGCTTCAGGAAACTTCCCCATAGAGCTAGTCACTGGTGAGCAACTTAATTGTAAATTATTATTCTCCAGTCAAGTTTACTACGATAAACAGACAAAATTATCAATTAATATCGAACACAAATCAAATCAAATTATATACAATACGCAAAAATACACCTGAACACATTGTTGTTTAATGTTACCAAAAATTGTTACATAAGATTTTATTCAATGAATACAAGTTTATACAAAAAAGGAAAATGTGGTTAGTTAGTGATCAATTTTTTTAAAAAAATGAGTACATTCGGAAATTGTTTTAAAAGAAGACGGTACATTTCGATCAAATCTTACACATGTAATGTAAGTAGCAGTAGTAGTAGTAGTGTAATAGTAGTATGCACTGCGTTTAAATGTTCAATCGATCTGACTGATTTGTTTTATCGATTTGTTTAGAATTTAAAACAAACTTCACAATTTTGAATCAATTTTAATTCAGGAGACACAGTTTCGAATGAAATTCCAACTGAACTGTCTACATAACACACATAAGCGATTAATCACGATTGGGATAATAATATTAAGGCGTTTTAAAATAATCATGGCATATAAAAATTAAATTTCTTTTTTGCGATATTTTCAAAAGAATCATTGTTGTAAAAATAATCTAATCCTCTACATAACTTTCGTTATTGTCAATGAATTATCGGGTTTAGATTTTTTACGGAAACAAATACATGAAACAATACTTATGATCAATAAACTGACAGCAAATACGATCAACACCGCTATACCCATGTATACTGTGTGTGTACAGTGAGTGAATAAGCATGAAGGAAAAATAAAAACATAAAACAGAATCAATGAGCAATTAAATAAGTTTGAAATCATCAACCAGTAATTGTTAGACCACCATTAGAAACCTGTAAGCACTGGACGGCCGTTTAGTCCTGGTTCGGGACTCGTAGATGGCACTGCGCATCCACGACTCCTGCTCCTCGCAGGGTTTGAGAAGATGTGACCAATGGAGTTCAACCCTGTCGAGTGTAGGCAGTAACTACCAAAGACAAATGAGTGAGTTCGCGCAAAATCCCTAGATCAATCAGAGTTAGACATTAACACTGTTGGATGCCAGCCCAGTGGTCCGATAGTTAGGCGTTCGCGTACAATACCGAAGGTCCGGGGTTCGAATCCTGCGAGTAGCAGGAATTGTGGATGCGCACTGCCATCGATAAGTCCCGTACCAGGACGAAACGGCCGTCCAGTGATTCCAGGTTTCTAATGGTGGTCTAACAATGATTTGTTGATGCTTTCAAATGAGAAAAAACACAAACCTCCAAATCTCTGCCCCAAAATTAAATAAAAGTTTCAAAGTTAACGTATAATTTTACACTTCATTTTCTTGATAGATATCTACTTTTGTCCGAGGATTCTTAAACAGCGGATTAATTAGATTTTCCACAGTACACTAGTGAAGATGAGTAAGCAACTCATGAAGTTTGCAGTCATAACACGAAAAAATGTGAATTATCCGTCAGTCTCATGTGCTATTGGCTCTCTTATGGATATATTTTGGTGAATGAACTGATACTGGTCCGTGATACTGATCCCTCAGAGACATATAAAATGACGGACACTGATACAACATATTTAGAACTAGGAATGTCTGAGCAACTTTGACAAAAGAGATTAAATTCACCAAAATTCAACACACTAGATATCAAAAATCTCGCATTCCTACTGGCTGCCGAATGACGAAATCTAGATATGGTATTTTGCACACCAATGTCAGCTTAATTGAAAATCTATACCATCAGTAGTATTTAGTTGATCTTGACGATATTTCATCACGAACTACGGGTTTCTAATGTAATCTATTTGGAATAGTGCAGAGGTAATCATCTCACTCTTCCATAACCTTCAGGTTGTAAACACTAATGTTCCATACAGTTTTTGCAAGAAATGAATGATTTACAGTGATATTAATGACATTTTTCCACATAAACTGATAGGTGGTTATCAAATCGCAATGGAATATATGCAGACTTTTCAAAAAAAACATATACGATGACTAAACTATTCACTTTTATATAATAAACGGATTGTGGTTAATAGTTTTATCTGACCTTTTTCTCATACTACTAAAATCAATACACCTTGCGTCTCATTGTTGATGTACACAATGTAACAAAACATAATCATTAGATTCTATAGTTAGCCATAATCTATATGCTTTATATAGTATGTGACATAGAGACGCTATCGAAGCAATGCACTAAACATGCACTGAGACGAGATTAAACATTTGCAGTCTTAGTGATCGACTGGGTTATGAAGACGTCAACATCTGGAGGAAAGCACAGTATCCAATGGACAGCTGTGACGTACTTGGACGATCTAGACTTCGCAGATGATCTGGCTTTTCTATCGTACACACAACAACAAACGCATGAGATATCGACCAGTGGAGCAGCAACCTCAGCATGTCTCAATATACATAGGAGGAAAAGCAAGATTCTATAATACAACACAACATGCGCCAAACAAATCACTCTTGATGGAGATGCCTTGGAGGACGTTAACACCTTAACATATCTTGGCAGCATCATCGACAACCAAAGTGGATCCGATGCAGATGTGTGCAGATCGGCAAAGCAAAGGTTGCATTTCTACAATTGAAAAATATCTGGAACTCCAAACAAATATCAATCAACACCAAAATCAGAGTTTTCAATACAAATGTCAACACAGTTCTACTCTATAGAGCGGAAACTTGGAGAATTACCAAAGCCATCATCCAGAAGATTCAAGTGTTTATTAACAGTTGTCCACGCAAAATACTGCGGATTCGTTGGCCAGACACGAACAGCAACAACGTACTGTAGGAGAGAACAAACCAGATTCCAGTGGAGGAGGAAATCAGGAAGAAGTGGTGGAAGTGGATAGGACACACACTGTGAAAAGCACCCAACTGTGTCACAAGACAAGCCCTCACATGGAACCCTCAAGGTAAAAGGAAAAGAGGAAGGCCAAAGAATACATTACGCCGAGAAATAGAGAAAGACATGAGAAGTATGAACAAAAACTGGAAAGAACTAGAAAGGGAAGCCCAGGACAGAGTTGGTTGGAAAAAACTGGTGAGCGGCCTATGCTCCATTGAGGGTTATAGGCACAAGTAAGTAAGTCCTTAACATCAGCGGTAATTAAATACAAATCTATTCAAATAATATTACATGTTTTTTTCCGGTTTGTACTTTTGTACTTTTTAACTTACTACAATGAGTAATGCAATGTATTCCATTGTTATCATTGATTTTATAAACTACCTGTGTGGGTCTAATATTGCCATTCAAGCACTTAAAATATTAGCATTCTTTAGAGAAAAGTCTGATGTAAAAGATCTAACTGTAGGCATGGATTTCGTTACACATGATTGATGGGTTTATATTTGAAAACAAAAGTAAAAAAAAAAGGAATGACATAAAATCATTCAATTACTTACAGTTATGAGCTCTGTCATTATTCGCTAATGTATCACTATTAGGTTGTATCTCTGGTGATTTGATATCAATCGAAATGTCAGCCATATTCTTTGATATAAAATATACAAAAAGTAAATCAATTAATTAATCAATTAATCGCTGATAAAATAGTAAGAAGATGTAATTGATCTGAAAAATTGTTGTGATGTATTTGCGCCTACACATTTCGAACAGTCCGGTCATATGTATTTACTTGTCAAGACATTTTATATAAAGATTCATAAAATGTCGATTAAATTGAAGTTCAAATAGAGATAAGGTGATAATTATAAAGAGACAGGGTACGAAATTGTCACCTTACCCTAGGCATAAAGATTACCAGGGTAAATTCAAGTTTATAACAGATAAGCGAGGTTTTAATTGACTAAAAACCAAGACTACCATACATCTCCAAATTCGTTCTTCAACATATCTATACAGTGTACTGAAAGCTGTCTTGATGTCAATCTTATGCCCCGCCTCAATTATGTGTTTTGCCATCGATGAACATGGTTTTCTATTTGCCACGTTTATCGGCTCATCTGATGTTAACTGATCTTGAAGCCACTTAGGTACATGTTCCATAAACCTTGACTGCAAAGTCCGATTACTCTTCCCTATCGATGTGTCCACACAAACATATAGACTGATACATGCGGTGGGATGTGATGTAATCATTCGAGCAATGTTTAGGTTTATGTGGAATCATGGGCTTAGTCTTTTCAATTATAATCAGTTTAGCAGCGTTGTATGTTTTCTCTAAGGATGCTTTTTGTCGCTGTCTTAACATTAGATCATTTTATTCACCTCTAAATGGTAAAGTGATATAATCCTTTTTCTTCTCATCAGAATGATATCTAAACCTAATGATGAACTTTAGCTGGTAGTCGTTTGAAATCAATGTTTCAGTTAATCTTCATATAAAATGCCTTGTTGGGATAGCCAATCGAGAAGAAAACCACGCACATTGTGGATTGATGAACTTATCGATTAAATGCTTAAATATTTCAAGGACAGTCGATCGATGAACTATCTGATTTAATATTCAAATATTTAAACGACAATATCGATTATATGTATAATTGTATAAATACGCATGTTTGATTGTATGTTTTTGATTCTGTTGATAAGTGTTCTCCAAAGTCTTCCGTCTTCTTATTTTTGAACGGTGGGAGTCTAACATTCAGTGTTGTCATTAGTACAGTGGTTTGGCGTTACTCAAGTACAGAACTTAAAAGCCTTGACAAGTGTATGTGTGACCAGATTGTTCGAAATGTATAGGCGCATATACATCACATTTTCCAGATCAATTAGGTCTTCTCATTGTTTCATCAAAATTTATAAATGTGACTAATTGTTTTAAATTATATACTGATCAAATAATTTCAGAGAAATTGAAGAAATTTAGTTTGAATTACATTTATCTATTTTGAAATTATGAACTAACTGATCAATGTTAGAACAGCACTGACATGCAAATTCTTATGTACTCACTAGTGACTAGCTCCGTGAGTAAGTTTATCCGAGTTTCAGTAAGAAGTCGTGACCAATGGAGTGTAACTCTGGTATGGTGTGGGGCAGAGCTCGCTAAAGAGAGTGGATGAGGTTGCGCAAAAACCGTGGATTGATCGAAGTTAGACATTAACATCATTAGATACCGGCTTAGTGGTCCAGAAGTTAGACCTTTCACTCCGGACCGAAGGTCATGGATTCGAAACCTATTTTCCATTTCTGATCTAGTATCACAGATGTAAGTAAGTAAACATTCCAAAAATCATATATGAAACAGCAGTCTATCTATTAAGTCTTAATAACCTGTTTACTTGCTTCCTTACACCTGTTTCCTCCAGTGCAGCAGAGGACTCCGATCAACATTCTCCATACTACTCTATTCTGGGCCTTCTTTTTCAGTTCTGTCCAACAGCTGTTCTTTTTTTTCACCGTAAGCCCTACCGATTCTTGGTGTGATGTGTTTTTTCGTCTTCCTCTTTTCCTTCATCCCTGAGAATTTCAAATGAGAGCTTGTCCTGAGATGCAGTCGGGTACTTTCCTCCAGAACCTTTTCTTAATTCCTTCCTTTACTGAAATTGAGTTTTTGTTTAAACCCACAGTAGGTTGTTACTGATGGTTTTCGGCCTTCGAATCTGAAGTATTTTGAGTAGAAAACTGGTAATCAACACTTGTATCTTTCGGCTGATGGCTTTTAAACAAATGCTTTAAGAGTATTATATTGCGAATGATATTGCATTATACTGATAATTCTGACTCTGATGTTTGTCGATAGTTGTTTTGAGCTCAAGATAATCTTCAAATGCATAAGTGCTGCCTTTGCTTTGTGAATTCGTGACTTCCCATGTGCATTGAATCCACCTTGCCGCTCAATGACGCTCCAAAAGATACAAGACGTTTCTACATCTAAAACTTTTCAGTCGTGTGATTTGGTTGGTACGTGTTGTGTTGAATCGGAGGATGTTGCATTTTACCTCATATATTGTAAAACCTACTGCTCTGAGGATGCAGCTACAATGGTCATATTTTCCTGCATGTGTTCCTTTGTTTGCAATAGAAGAACCAGATCATCTATAAATTTCATGTCGTCCAGCTGCATTCCAGCTCTCCACTGTATCCCGTACATCCCCTGAGGTTTCGACGTCTTCATAACCCAGACAACCACCAGGAGAAAAAGCAAAAGTTAGATTTGGATTCCTTGTCTAACAGTGGTCTTCAATTTGAACAAATCTGTCAGCTGTTTTCCGTGCACGATTTTGCAGTGTAGTATATCATAGGAATTTCGTATGATGTTGACTATCTTCCAAGGCAAGCAGTAGTGTCTGAAAGCCTCAATAGTACCATTCTGTTCATGCCTACAAAATGCTTTCTCGTAGTCAAAGTTGATGTAGCATAGTGAATTAATTCCATTCAACAGACTGTTCCACAATCATCCGTAGTGTCACGATTTGGTCGGTACATGATTGGTCCTTACTAAACCCAGCCTCTTGATCTTGAAGTTAAGCATCTACTGAGTTTTCCACTCTGTTCACCAAACTCTGTTGAAGACTTGTTCTGGCACTTGTGGTAGAGTGGTGCTTGTGGAGTTCTCGCATGCGCTGAGATCTCCATTCTTTAGTATCTTGATGAGGTGTCTTTCCTTACAGTCTGTTCGTACTTGTTCTTCTTCCCAAATCTTGCTGAAGAGAATGTGGAGCATCTTTGCAGTTATTGTTACGTCTGCGTTCAGTTCCTAAACTGTAATGTTGTCTGGTCCTGCTGCCTTGCCATTCTTGATTTATCTGATGGTCATTCTGATCTCTTTAATTGTTGGTGATGAAGTTAGGTATGACATCAGTGAATCCTGACTAATTTGTAAGACCGAAGACTCAGAATTGCAATGCCAGACTCGAAGTCACGAACTGAGGAGTTCCGTACCAACACGAAACGGACATCCAGTGCTTCCAGTTTATCACTGGTGATCAAAATAATTGTGGCTTATTTTTTATAAATCATGAAAATATTACTTATTTTTTTATAAGTAACATTTTACTTTAAGCTAAAATCACTTTCAATCCTTTCATTGATTGAAAAGGAATGAAGAGAACATAATTAATTAATGAAATATTTATAATTTGATTATAATTAGTGTTGATTAAAGTTGAACAATATACACACTGGACTATATCGATAACAGAATTCAAAGTTATCCAGTGTTTAGTATTCCATAATGTTAAAGTTGAATATACGTAAAACGACAATTTATAATCTAAAATGATTGATTTTTAAAATTAAATCACGTTCATATGTTATGATTTGTGTAGGTGTACATACATCAACAAGAATAAGTTTTGTAATTTTAATCAGAGATAGACATAAGATAACTATTTGGAAAGTTGGAGCTACCGGTTACCAATTTTATCCAGGAGTTGGATTCGTCAACAGTATTCATGTACGATTCTAATATTTTTTTAAGCCTAGAATTTCTAGGGCTTCTGAAGAACTTTTAATCCTATTACCGCTAAGTCAAAACCCATTTGTTAACATTTTCAAATTTAACCGACTCATATTACTGTTTGTTCATTTTCTAATCCCATTCATGAATGGATGTCGCAAATCCAACTCGGTTGAACTGCATAGGTCACGACTTCTCACTAAGACCCGATGAATTATCTCTGAAAATTATTTGCTCGTGACTTATATCATGAAGATTAAAGTTATGCATGCAAATCAATGGATGCCTACTTGGTTGTACACTGAATGAGAACTTTTCAAGAATCCCGAAGTTTGTGTATTTATTCATCGGAATTACCTTGCGTATGTAATCCTGAGGAGTCCCACAATTAGACCGAATAATTGCCCATTACTTTAGAATTTTTAATTATGAATTCAACAATATGTACGAATTCCTAATCTTAATGAATATACCTGTCAATAAAATCAGGTTGAAAGGGACTGAGTTCGTATCTGTGACTAAGGTATGAATCCCAATAGGTTCTGTTCATTAAAAAAAAACCCTAAAGCACATATATTTATATGCACTGTACCTTTACAAAACTGAATAGTGAAACTAGAATTCGATAAATTCAAAGAAGGAAATTTCAATGAATCATCATGAACTACTACTACTACTACTGTGGTGCGCGCTACTTATAAGTAGTATATGACGCAAGTGTAAACGTAATGTCTGGCAGCAGAAGATGGGGGAAGATCAAGAAAGGAAGAGTGGGAACACGAGGGAATATGTATGAAACGCATGAATAGTGAAATGTCAGACAATAGATTGGTGATGGATTGAAGATTTCACTGAGTAACTGTAATTTTCGATGAATACATTTCGGTTGCCCTCACCAGTGTTCTCCTTCACTACACTACTACTCGTTAATATGTCACAATGTAAAAGAAATACTCTAATTTATTCACAATGAAAATCGATTACAATATTAGTCTCCTAATGCCAATCGAAGCAAACTGTTAAATGTTTAAATTATATTTGTGCATCTGAAGTGAGTGTTGAACAAACCAACTTGTTATCGCAAGTTTAGTAAGTTGAATCGAATATTATTGCTAATAATAATAAAAGAA